ACACATGTATGTATGTATGTATTTACGTATGTATATATGAATATATATATATATATATGTATTTCTATTTAGTGTACTATAAATAGAATAATTTTAGTAATATATAATAATATATAATAATATATATCCAACTAGATCCATTTGCGCATCCAACAGACACTCGTCTAGATATACACATACATATGCACCCAATTAACAAGTACATATCTCACTGCCACTCGCGTACCTCCAGATAACAACCACGTTGGTCTTGTTCTGGGCCATAGCGTCGAGTGTACCTCCAATGGCTTGTTCGTTGGTAGGCGTAGGTCCTGCAGGCACAGGCGGCTGCTCCAGTTGAGCCTCGAACAGGTCGAATTGGTATTTGTCGTACACCTACATATGTAGACCCAAGTAGCAGTACGTGTATGGTAAAGCACCCTAAAGACACACATGTGTATGTGCATATATGCGTGCGAGTATATGCCATGCGAGGGTAGACGCATACATGAGCAGCATACACGTACACACATGGATATGTATGTGCTTACTTATGTGTGTGACTGAGGTGCCTGCGTGTCTGCGCTAGCCTAGACTTGTATGTGAAAGTTGTGACTACGGAAGTGGGAAAGGTTACTTGCTCTGCCGGTTGGCATGCAACCGAAGATCAATATAAATGCCACATGGTATACAGACATACATACAAGATAAGCAATACACGCGAATGCTGGCATACACACATACATACATGTAGAAGAAAGCACGCGAATGCTGGCACACATACATACATACAAGTAGAAGAATGCACGTGAATGCTGGTGCAGACACGCTTTTCATGGAATGGATAGGCATACACTGACACAGACCACACGCAGATATTCTATCAGTAAAATACCTACCAGATATTGTACCAGTAAAATACCTACCAGATATTTTACCAGTATAATATCTACACAGAGTCCACACAAGTGATACCTACACAGAGTACATACAATGGATACTCACACCGCATACAAGCTATACATACAAACACACACACACCTCATCTGCAATCACATGGTAGTTGTTGCGTGTCATGTCGAAGAATTCAAGCAGGTTGGGTCTGAAGGTGATATTGTCGCTGAAGCTGCCCAGGTGCACATGCATATACAGATTGCGCGAAGGTTCATCCTCTGAATGTCGTTCGGTTTCCTCGTATTGTTTGTTCTCGCCGTGTCGTTTATTCTCGTCGTGCCGTATATTCTCGCCTTGTCGCTTATGCTTGTCGTGTCGTATATTGTTGGGGCTTGTTGCATTCTCCGGATGTGTGTGAGTGCCCCTCATGTTGCCCTGCATGACATATACCCCTTTCACCGTGAACGACGGTAGCATCACCGTCACGGGCTCGGTGGTTGATTCCTGTGCAACACACATGACAGATTATTAGGGCCGCTCCGAAAAAGAAAAGGCCAATCTCTAAGTCACATTTTATGAATTGGGACTGTAACTGCCAGTATTGGGTCGTCTTCTTCTTGGAAACGCCGGAGTATTCTGTCTAGCCCGTGCGATAGGTCAATCAGACTCCACCCATAGATACGCCAATACCACACGCAAACCATTGGATTAATAAGACTACCCATAAATACACCAATACCACACATACATTATTGTACTTGCGACTACACATCAAACCCTAAAACCCTATGCGCATGTGGCTCGACATGCACGAATCACGCCACACGGCATCCTCCATACAGAGAAGTCTTGCGCGTAACTTGTACTGGTTCATAGGTGGTCACCGAATGGCCCAAGTGTACAACCCCAGGCAAACTTACCTATGAGGTGACTGATGCATCTCAGTGCGATCGTAGGTACCTACACAAACTAACCCAAAACAATGTACTTACCAGTGTAAACACACATGTCATGCCACACACATTGACCTGTTCCAGGGGTCCTGTTGGCGCAAGGATTGATACTATATACCTACCTGTCAAAACACATGTCATGTCATGTCACACACCTTGACCTGTTCCAGGGGCAAAAGACCTGTGCATGTGTCCTGTTGGTCCATGGATTGATACTTTATACCTACCTGTCAATACACATGTCATGTCATGTCACACACCTTGACCTATTCCAGGGGAAAAAGACCTGTACATGTGTCCTGTTGGTCCATGGATTGATACTATATACCTACCTGTCAATACACATGTCATGTCATGTCACACACCTTGACCTGTTCCAGGGGCAAGAGGCCTGTGCCTGTGTCCTGTTGGCCCATGGATTGGGTCTGAATGGCGGGTGTGTACAGCACCATACGCCCGCGCTCAATCTTCAGTGTAATGTGCAACACCCATCGACCCAATAACACCAGAGCCGACCATGGAGCTACAGGCGTACTGGGTCTAGTGCCTGGATGGGGCGGGGTTTAAGGGGTGGATAAAGGGTAGGACAAGGATTAGAGGGG